ATGTCATGAACTGTAAGCTGCAGTCATTATGTCCATAAGGTCAGTATCTAGTGTATATTCACATAACATCCAAGCACATGAGGGCATGTGCAGTGTTTTATACATGTAGGGCTTCTTACCTGTATCTTTATTTCAGGACAGATAAGGTGAGAACATTTAGTATATACCTTTCCACAGCTGCCATACTGGCATAAAGAAAGACTTGAAACCCAGAGTTTCCTCTTGAGTGCATTTTGGCTTTCTCTTTACTCTGTGGAGCTCCTGTGGGCTACTCAAACAAGAGAGGGCCTGCCTGGCAGGTGCATTGTGAAATTCAAAAGTAAACAGACTACTAATACCCAGCCACAGTAATTCAAAATTCATCGAGATTTCTGATAAATAGCATCTCATGAGTAGTAGAGGATGTAGCCCGGCCCAGTAGATGGCAGGCCTGATACTAGTACCATTTCATGTGTTGAAGAGGCTGTTTTAGAAGGGAACAAGCATCCTGCAGTATATGGGTTTTGGTGATGGATATGATTGAGATGCCACTGGAAGCCGAAACTGGAAGGCTCAGGCTCACTACAGGATATCATACTTTCCCTGAAGGTCATGGCCATTCCTGGAAGCCCAGGCCTTCCTCATGGCATTGTGTGGGACCCAATTGTAAATCACACTCCCTGGCTAAAAGGGAGCTGCTCCCTGAAGGGGTAAGAGTCTGCTGGGAGCAGTAGCCCACGTTATCCTTAGTGACATAGTGAATTATGATTACTTTTTACTCAGACTTTGCCTAAGTGACTCAACAGACCAAAAAAATGTGTGTGTGTGTGGGGGGGGGGACTTCAATTTCTTCAGACTCTGAAAACAATGATGAATGCTTGATGACCCATGGTTGTAAGGGATGTGCATTCTTTTTCCAGAAAAGAAGCATATTCAGAACTAACAGCAACTTTTCCTTCTCTAGAGGTGTCTGCTGGACAGACCATCAGGATCTGAGTTCTTGAGCTGCCTACTCATGTTGTCCAGAATTCAGCTCCACTTTTGGACTCCAGGGTTCAGAGTCACTTCAGATCGGAGGGGAGGCTATTTCCTAGTTTCCTAATCACATTTTGAGACAAAAGCATTTTGGATTTTTAAGTACTAAAATATATAAAAACTTGTCTTCTCACCCTGCCCTTTGGTTGCTTCTGGTATTTTGCTAAAGCTTAAAAACATTATTATCTGAGCTCCCAAGAATTTAAGCCCATCTGATTTGATCAAAACAACTTTAAATTATACATTTTAATATTTCTTATGAAAAAAATCATATAAACAAGAAACAAAAAGGTGATTTCTATATTTAAATTTAGATGACATATAAATGGCAGTGAAAATATATAATGACAGAAACTATAATGACAGTCACCTGCAGGAAGGTGTCATGTTTCCTGGAAAAGGGGTACAAGTAGGCAATGTAACCTGAGTAGGCAATGTAAAGATTCTATATGTTTACATGGATAGTATTTCCTGTCACAAAGCTCAGAATTTGTCCTCTGCATTTGAGATTTCTTCAACGTTCATCTATTTTCTTGGACTATATTTTTCTTCCTGTTTTGTTGGGCAAGGTGGCGGCAGAAAGAATTTTTCAGTGTGACTTGTTTTGGTACAGTTGAGTGGATTTTGAACTTTGGCAGAAGCATAAAGAACCCCACCCAGCCTGTGTCATGCTCCAGGAGAGAAGACAAGAGAGGCCTGATACTTCCTTTCATTTCCCCCCTTTCCACTAATGGAATGAGATAAAAAGAACACAGTCCCACGTCAAAGATCAGCCAGAGCACTAGGATGTGACAATAAAAGTGATTGTTCGGTGGGAAATGACCTGCTACTCAGTAAAGTCCCTAACATCATCCCCCTCGCAGTTAATTTGTATATATTTTCTTTGCATTTCCATTTCAGAAGTAATTATCTCAGAAAACTTTCTAAGCCTTGTTCACTGTGTTCTTATATGGGAATATCCTGATGGAAAAATATTCAACGAACACTAATACAGTGTTCATTTTAGCCAAGGTGACTTAGATACTGCACACATTGAAGGGCACATGTGCTTAAGCATCATGTTGTTGGTGGGAGCAGTTACCAAGGAGGGATGTCTTCTGCAGACACCCGCTTCTTTGCTGTGACTTCCATGTTCCTGATGACATGGGCCATTGAAGTATTTTATGTGCTTCACCCTTTTTTTTCCTGCAAATGCCTGGAGTGATAAATGCAATTTCCCTTGAATTCTTTACACTTCTAAAAAAAAATCTCTTGTAAACTAGGGGCAAATGTAAAGAGAAGTGTCTAATAACCATGTAGTAGCACTTGCACACAGCTCCATACTAGGTCCTATTTTTTTTTCTTTTTTTTTTTTTGGCTTTTCGAGACAGGGTTTCTCTGTAGCTTTCGAGCCTGTCCTGGAACTAGCTCTTGTAGATCAGGCTAGCCTCGAACTCATAGAGATCCACATGCCTTGGCCTCCTGAGTGCTGGGATTAAAGGTGTGTGCCACCACCACGCGACCATAGTAGGTCCTTTAGCATAAGAACATCTAGTTCTTTATAAATTACCATGGAGGGTGTGTATTATTAAAATAAAAAAATTAAGGGTAAAATAAAAAAAAAATTTAAAGGCTGGCAAATGGCAGAGTTCTGATTCACATCCAAGTCTACTTGGAATGGGTTTACAATGAATTGTCTGGAAAAGCACTATTGGAGAGAGAAATGATCTAAGTTTCTGAGACACATACATAATTAATCATAGATCAGGAAAGTAAGTGTGCTCACAAACTAACAAACAGCAAGCGCTGTTGGCTTACTATTTCTGTATTAACTTGGTGTTGGGCATTAAGATTCTTTACTAAAAAATTCATAGGTCTGACTGTGCATTGCTGACTTGTTCAAAACTACATCTTCTGTAACACTTAGGAGGAGGACAGAGTCAGTAATAGGATATTTAAGAATAGTTGTATTCACAATGTCTGATTATTCTTTCTTATTCTTACCATAAATTAACATCTGCTGTAGGACACTGCTATTCACAGGAAATAGTTTCATATAAGGCCTCACATTATTGATGGTGATGACCTTTATTAGTTATTAGGCAGTTTTATCAATATAACCAGGATACTTCAGAACAGTCTAGCATACAGATGGCTTTGTTTCTTTTCAAAGAAAATAGTTTTCAAACTCCAATTGACAATTTAATTTATGTTTTGGATAATTGTTTTTATTAAAATAACAAGAGGGACAAAAAAAATCTGTGTTTATTTGCTATGTCTGGGTATGTGTGGAAAGCCTACCTAGACAGGAATCTCAAACTAGGGCTAAAGGGAGATACTATGTGTTCAGGCAATTTAATTTTTATTGGGTGAATTGGGCTTTGGAAACCAAAGTGAAAATAGGCCAGTAGCTTCCGTGAAAAATTTCAGGCGCTTTTGTTAAGAATTTATCTTCAAAGGAATTTTGCTTTGTGGATCTTGTCAATGTCTGTCTGTCTTTCTTTCTTTCTTTCTTTCTTTCTTTCTTTCTTTCTTTCTTTCTTTCTTTCTTTCTTTCTTCTTTCTTTCTAAAGAAAACCACGCAGGAAAAGTTTTCTCTAGACAATCCATGCTGGATTTGTTACCATAATCCTGAATTCCATTGTTGTTGAGTGTTAAGAGACTACTAATAGTTTTTGTCCCCAATGAGAAGTATAGAGAATGAAGATGGGAAGCTTGCCTTCTGAGGCTGACAGTTGGAAACAATAGAGGAGAAAGTGTGTTCATTTTGTACCGAAAGTGAATTTCATAGGACACCTTCCATTGAGTGAAGAAATTAGAAAGAAGAGTTATTGGGAAAAGTTATACTTCAACAAAAATGCCAGCTAACACATATATTTCTATTGGTGACCTTTGTGGAGATGATTGGTGGTCACACTGTCCTCTCTTATAATTAGAAGCATATATTAAGGTCAATCAGTATGTTGAGAACCCACCTGAAATACAGTCTTACAAGAGATTGGGAGTAACAAAAAAAGTCCCATCATGAGTTTTATTTTAGAGAGAAGGGCACCATGTTATAAAAATTGTGTTTGTGCAAAGCCACCTATCTCCATATTAACACTGTTTTACTTGTATAGTTTTTCATGATTACTTAAGGAATTTAACACATTTAATCCTTTCAAAAACCTGTCTGGTGTAAAAGACAGAAGCATGATGTTCATTTTCTTCAGTTTAAGTAACTGAGGTCATTAGTAATCCATCCAAGACTGCAAGTTGAAATGGAATGGGCCTGTCAGGGTAATCAGACAGTTTGGCAAAGAAGAATCATGTTTCATTTTTTTTTTCATTCACAAATAAAGATATTTTTCACATTGCTTAAGTTAAAAAATATCAAAAGTATTTGCAAATATAACAAAATAAGTGTGAAAGTGATTTTTAAATTCTTAAGAGATTTTTACATATTTGTTTGTAGCCACGAGAAAGAATCCAACTAACCAAGCAGTGGTGGCACACACCTTTAATCTCAGCAGTTGGGAGGCAGAGGCAGGCAAATCTCTGTGAGTTCAAGGCCAGCCTGTTTTATAGAGCAAGTTCCAGGGCAGGTTCCAAAGCTACACAGAGAAACCCTGTCTCAAAAAGAAAAAGAAAGAAAAAAGAATCCAACAGTTTTACTTATTTATTCTTTTGCTTGCTTGTTTCTTTGTTTATTGACAGTGAGCTCCTGGTAGAGCTGAACATTTCTTTGTCCCTGTGCCTTTGTGATTTTTTTTTTACTTGTAAAGTGGAATTTATAATAATTTGTGTCATTATTTTTTGAGAATCAAATATATTGCCACATAGGAAGCATTTAGAAGAGTTCTAGGCACACCATCTGTACTCTAAAAGTTTTACCTATATTAGTTTCCCTTCTTTGGCCATTCTCACTAAAAGCCACAGTTAAGAAGACACAGAAACAAGGTGTCAGGAAAGCCCCTGCTTGAAAATCTTCTGGTTTTCTCAGTAGCAATTGTTTTCTGTACCCATAGTTTCTTCATCATGGATTGTCAAGAAAATGAGTACCAGGACCAATGGGGGCACTGTGTCACCTGCCAGCAGTGTGGCCCTGGACAGGAGCTCTCCAAGGTAAACTCTTCTGATCAGTGCTTTTTTTTTTTTTTTGTACATCTAAGAAACCAGGAAGTGTGTGTGTGTGTGTGTGTCTGTCTGTCTGTCTGTCTGTCTGTCTTGTGAAAGAAATAAAGAAACAAATGTTTAAGAAAAAAATTAAGAAAGAACAATATTAGAAGTTCCATCCATTCTCGGCTCTTATTAGTTCAGTTCAGTTAAGCATATACAATGAAATACAAATCGTATGCAATAGTAGTCAGTGTTCAATCACGAAGTGAGGCTAGCAGACTCAGAGGCCAGGGAGAGCTTAATGCAATACTATGATACCTCATAAAGAGATATGTACATATCAAGGTTCAGAATTTTTGCATTCGAGATATCTGTTAAACAAAGCAAAGTACATTTAATTAGGTTTAGAAACAAAATACCAGGTTTGGGGAATGTGGAAGAATCAAGAAAGCTAATGTGGCCTCTGTTCTGAAGGGTCTGCTTTACTAAGAAAACTGTCTGAGAAAGGATTCGGCAATAGGAAACAAGGTGAAGCATAGAATGGTCCAATTAAAGGTAAATTTTTGAATAAAAAGAAACGCAATGAAAACTGAGATCAAGGCAGGGACTCCTTAGTTTTTACTTACTTCACATCCCCTGTTGTTTCTTCAATTGGGGATGATATTAGAGTTTACTATAAAGGCTAGAAGAAGAAAGTCAGTAAAGTTTCTGTATGCTCGTGCTTGTTTTTGCACATTTATTCATTCATCAATTACTTACCTCACATTTGCAAAGTGGCCAGTATGATTGTAGGTATCTCTCTCTCTCCCTCTGTCTCTGTCTCTCTCTGTCTGTCTCTGTCTCTCTCTGTCTCTGTCTCTCTCTGTGTCTCTCTCTGTCTCTCTCTCTCTCTCTCTCTCTCTCTCTCTCTCTCTCTCTCTCTCTCTCTCTCTCTCTCTCACACACACACACACACACACACACACACATTGAGGGCCCAGGAACAGAATTATGTTGATGTGATGCAGTGATGTGATTCAGAGTGGGAGCTGGGAAGAGCTCCCTGAGTAACTGCTTTCTGGGAATGACGTAGAGCTAATGCAGTCCCAAGTGAAGTACAAATTAGTATTGTTTCATGGATAAGAAGATTAACACGGCTGATTCATAAATAAAGAAAGGGGAAGGAAAATATAGGTCAGACAACTTGGGAACTTTGATGAGAAACATCTTTTTTTCTAAGGGCACTAAGAATCTTCTGGGGTTTTTAAGTAAATAGCATGTTCTATCGACTAAAAGAAATAAAAAAAATATCCTAATTCCTTCTTCCATTTATAAGTTAAAAAAATAAAAAGACTAAAGCCCAAGGCTATCAAAAGATAGTATTAACTCTAGTTTTAACATGTATTCTACAGAGGGATGCCCAAAGTGTTGTGGAGGAATTCCAAGGCCATGACAAGGCTACCACAGGATAGGTCATATTGGTTATTAGGACGAATCTAATGCAACAAATTTCTTGTCTTGACAAAAATATCTCTTTTAAGTACCACATCAGACTTCATGATAAATGGTTTATAAATGGTCCTCTCGTGTACATGGTTATTACCTTTAAAATCATCTGCATTGGCAAACCTGCACTTCTTTGAGGGAAAAAAGAGGTCTGTTAATCTGTCAAGCTGCTGTCATGAAATCCAGAAAAGGAAGACCATGATGAAAGTTCCGTTTGACTTAGTGCCTCTCTGACTGCCATTTACTTCCACACCACTTGAAAGTTCAGAAAAAAGCCACATATATGGCAATACTGCTTCTGGAAAACTTTTAACTATAAAGAATTTCTATTCATCTGGTCATCTGTACTTTGTAAAGAACTCTCTCAAGAACATTATTTTGTTTAGTTTTGTAACTGTCCTGCCAGGAAACTGTTGTGAACCTCATTTTACAGACTAGACAACCACAGTTCAGAGAGTGTGTGCAACTTGTTCAGTGACCGTGAATGCCGAAGAAATACATTTGGAGTCAGGTACGACTGGGTCCCGTCTTTCTTTCAAATTAAGTAGGATGCATTAAATTGAAAGTAACATTTTCCAGAAGAAGACATACCAATAACCTACAGGGCCATGAAACCATGCTCTACCTCACTAACCAGGGAAAGACTTTTCAAACAACACGATTTTGAAAAGAAATAATACTGAAGATTTTGCTTTTAATGCTGGTAAGGATGTAGAAAAAGAACTCTTCCACACGGTCGTAAGAATAAAGTCGTATTGTAAAATAGCTTAGATGTTTCTCAAAAAAAAAAATTAAAAATAGACATTTTTAGGGAAGTTGGCAGATTAGAGACCTCATGATGCAAGCCACTGAAAGAAAACAGGAGAGAACAGGGTCATCTTTATCCTTGCAAGAGACAGTAGCTCTAAATGGGCTTATTAAGCCAAGTGAGATCTCTGTGGGGAAGCAGACAAGAGTGGCTGTGAACTAGTGCCTAGCTGCACAAATTGGCTCTGGTGAGGTAATTGGAAACCACAGGGAAGCACTTTGCAGTACACACACTCAGCAGAGCTGCTGTAGCAGTTAGCTGAGAACCAAGGACTGGCTAGCAATTGGAGATGAGGCCTTGGAACTAAAGCTTTCCTTCTCACAGCAGGGTTCCAGTTGAGGTTAAGCGGGAATTGCAGGACCAAAGCTCATACCGCCTTCCCCTTTCTGAGTACCAGTACACTGTGGCAGAGCCTGAAGAAAGATCTGCCACAAAAACTGAGAGCTGGGTGGGTCCAGGGCCTGAAATGTGGTAGGGCAATTGACACACTCTCTTAAACCAAGTCTGTAGCTTTAGTCATTGGGAACCCATGGCAACAGATCCCAACCTGTCTTCTCCAGAACAATGCTGCCAAAGCACAGAGAGTACCAAGGAGGGAACTGAGAACTGCACGGCTCACCTCACTGCGGCTGTGCCAAAAGCTCAATCCAAAGTGATACTAGCTAACCTCTATGAGACAATGCGTACACAAAATCAGGCTTTACAGATGTCTACTGGAATACCAAACCGATCGCAATGCTCCCATTAGTGCAGGAAGGGAAGAAAATTTTCAAAATACATTCCAGGATAAAAGAAATCTTGACTGACATGATGTTTTTAATCCAAAGTGCTTTTATTATACATTCTTGCTACTGTTGAAAGTTTTGTGAATTTTAATTTTTCTTTTTCTCTTTTAATCTTAACTCTTGAATAAATGCTTCATAATGGTTGGGCTTTAGGTCATACACTGCTCATTTTGTATGATTGTTGTGTTTGCTTTTAAACCATTGTACTATTATGTACTTTGTGATAATCTTCCTACATACAAACAATGTATTTTCTCACTCGTTCCTACTTCTTCTGATATTTTGTCTTTCCTGCCCCCACTTCTTTTTCTTATTAACTCTAGATCTCCAAAAATTTTTTAAAAAGGTTTAAACTATAGAAACTAACAACATCCCAATGCTCTGTTCCCAAATATTTTTCCTCATCTTAATTTCCTTCCAATTAATTTAACAGGAATCCCAATCCTTATCTAGACCACATCCCTCCTACTTAGAATCTTGGTAATACTCTACTATTCACCATACTACCCATATATATTATTCCTCCAATAGTTACTGGAGTTAAAAGGATCATGCTTACTAACTGGCTAAAAGGACACTTTCATAAAATTTTATCCAGCAATGTGGCTGATTCTACAGATAATATTCAAGTATTACTGTAAATCCCCATCTCCAGCCTCCATCTTTGGAGGCCTTGCCCCTGTGCCCCTTGAACCTTACCCCTCTCCAAGGAGGGTCAAAGTAGCCGACCAAACCTTGACACCTCCCCTAAAAAAGTCAAGACCACTCCCCAAGGCTATTTAAACTGCTCCCCCAAAAATCAGCACGTGGTTTTCCCTCTTTCCCATGTAGTCGCATTGGCAGCTTTCTGGTTTCTCTTGGGACCACCCGAGAGTGCAGGAGTTCAATTAAGCCTGGATTTCTTTCAATTTGGTTTGTTTTGATTTGGCTTGATTGGGATCTTGTGTCGGCAGAGAGCTCGTGTTAGAAAATATTCCTAACATTTACCAGGCACAATGAGTACATGACAGGGGTATTAATTCTAAACTATGCATATAAATTATATCAATTGAATACTGATAACATTTTGACTGCAATAGAACAACTGATAAACCCAATCGATGAATAACTCAGATGCATAGATCTCAATGGAATGGAACAAGGAAGAGAACAAATCAAGGAAATATGACCTTCTCCCCTTGGAAAATATCATAGTACTGGTCCACAATGAGACTGAGTTAGATAAAATCCCAGAAAAAAATATATTAAAGGTGCTAGAAGGAGGAAATGGAAGAGAGGAAATAATGCAGTTATGCTTCAATTTTATTAAATATAAGAGAGTCAAAAACAGTATATTCAATAAAACCATTATAAAAAGCTTTCAAAATTTAAACTAAGAGGATGGCTATCCAGGCTCAGGAGGCATATCAATCACAAAATGGCAAGGAACTGAAAAGATCTTGAAAAAAACTTTCCTAAATCAGAGTAGTTAAAACTCTCTCTCTCTTTCTCTCTCTTTCTCTCTCTCTCTCTCTCTCTCTCTCTCTCTCTCTCTCTCTCTCCAGAGATAGATAGATAGATAGATAGATAGATAGACAGATAGATAGATAGATAGATATAGGTAGATATAGATATAAAACTGATGTATAAACTGATGACTTGACCTTTCCAAGCTATAGTTGAGGATGCGGTTTTATTGGAGCTATGAGGGAGAGCACATTTAGATGCATCTGGAAAAGTCCAGAGCAGGGAGAGAAAGTAGTACAATGAACATGGCCAGCATATTGAACCTGGCAATGAGAGGAAGGGTGGAGAGTAAGAGCAAGAAAGAAAGACAAAGAGTATGGGGAAAGGAAATCAAGAGAGTGTAAGAGAGAACTAAACTAAGATGTGTGTGTGTGTGTGTGTGTGTGTGTGTGTGTGTGAGAGAGAGAGAGAGAGAGAGAGAGAGAGAGAGAGAGAGAGAGAGAGAGAGAATAGCAAAAAATAGCAAAGCTATAAGAAGAAATGAGAAGCTGGGGAGAGGGAGGCCAGTGAGCTGTAGACAGTTAAAGTAAGGAGCCTGATGGACTGCCAGGAGGGACTGAAATATGGAACAGGTACTTGTGATACTCAGGAAGCCTCAGGCCAGAATGCCCTTTGGTATGCTCATAGGTATCACAAATAGGAATTTGTTCCTTCTGAAAGTGATAAGGAAATGGTTCCTTTGTTAGAGGGGAACTAGCTTCACAAGTTCCTGAGGAAGGCTGGCTTTTGTCTAACCATCAGAACTTTCACCTGGCAACTATATCCAGAAAAGTTATATTGAGGAGATAGCTCATTTAATAAAGTATTTGCTTTATACATGTGAGGACCAGAGTTTAGACCCCTTGCACCCATAAAAAAAAATCCATACCTGGCAACATGTACCTATAATTTTATTCTAAAGAAAAATAGCTAAAAGGATATTTTTTAAAATTTATTTATTTATTAAAGATTTCTGCCTCCCTCCCTGTCACTGCCTCCCATTTCCCTCCCCCTCTCCCAATCAAGTCCCCCTCCATCGTCAGCCCAAAGAGCAATCAGGGTTCCCTGCCCTGTGGAAAGTCCAAGGACCACCCTCCTCCATCCAGGGCTAGTAAGGTTAGCATCCAAACTGCCTAGGCTCCCACATAGACAGTACGTGCAGTAGGATCAAAAACCCAGTGCCATTGTTCTTGAGTTCTCAGTAGTCCTCATTGTCCGCTATGTTCAGCGAGTCCGGTTTTATCCCAGGCTTTTTCAGACCCAGGCCAGCTGGCCTTGGTGAGTTCCCGACAGAACATCCCCATTGTCTCAGAGTGTGGGTGCACCCCTCGCGGTCCTGAGTTCCTTGCTCGTGCTCTCTCTCCTTCTGCTCCTGATTTGGACCTTGGGATCTTTATAGGTTGGTTGCAAGCTAGTCTGTTTGGATTTGTGAGCTCCAGACTCATTGAGAGGCTTTGTCTCAAAAAATTAGTTGAAGAAGATATGTGATTTGCATGTGATCTTGCATGCATGTATACACACAATCAGAGATTAAAAATAAATAATTTATTAATGTAACTTATGGCTTTGGAAGAACAAGTAAAGCCAAACCCTAAATCAATATAAAGAAAGAACCATTTTCCAGGAAGAAATTAAAAGAATGGAAAGAACAATCACAATAATAAAACAAAGCAGATAATTAATTAAACAAAGACTTGGTTCTTTGAAAAATAAAATCAAATTAATCCTTAACAAAACTTGTTAAGAGAAAAAGAAGGGAAACCTGTTATTCTTTTTTTTTAAGATAAGGTTAGGGGAGGCTGGTCCCACAAGGGACTGTGGAGTCACTGGAGCCTTTAGAGGGGCCAAGGCAAGTAGAAAACCATGGCCAGGGAGACAGGCAGATAAGCCATGCAGAGAGAGTTTGGGGTATAGGAGTTTATTTAGTGGGTTATGGAGGGGAAAGGGAAGGAGGAAAAGAGAGATAGGGGAGGTGGGGAGAAGGGAGAGGGGGAAGAGAGAGAGAGGCAGCAGTCACCGCTTCAGAAGAGGGAGGGACAAAAAGAGAGAGAAGGCAGGCTGGAGGAGGCAGGAGATCCGCTTGCCTGGGTGGAAGGGGAGGAATGGTTGGGATTGAGTGGTGCTTGTATGTTAAAAGGTCTGGACACCCAGGTGACAGGCTAGCAGATCATAACAAAACTG